GCGCAGCAGGTTCGGAGTCCGGCAGGGAGTCCGGCACCTTGGAGTCACGAGTTTTACAGGGGACAAAGTCAATGTTCGGCTCCATCGCCGCGGAAGTTGCAGCCCCCGAGGCGGTGTCCAGCCACCGATCCTCGATCTGGGCGATCGACTCCGGACTGAGGGCCGGAGCGGATTCATGTGCGGCTACCAAGGCACTGTCCGGCGGCAGAGCTATATCATGCCCATCGTGACAGTGCGGCACGCTCGGCTATGGCTCGAGTCTGTCGAAGATCAAGTCCCCGCGGATGTCGGCCGTGAAGTTTAGGCTTCCGAACCTGACCTGACGGCCAGGGGCGTAACTTTCGATCTGCTCCAGATGGCCAAGTGAATTAGCCCGCAGTGCGAAGCCGCTGAATACGAAGATCTGTCCAGGGAGAAAAGTCTCACCCTGGACAGCGTGGTTGTTGATTGAAGAAGCCATCGAGCCTATCGGCGACGACACAGAGGAACTCTCAATGAAAGCACCAATGTCGGTGTCAAAACCGGCGGATCTCGGGTAGGGGGTCCCGAACTGTGCGTCTAGGCGGATGGTAACAGGAGACAAGGGACACGATGTTTTACCCAGGTTCGGGCCCTCTCGATGGAGGTAAAACCCTACGTCCTTCTCGATTAATATTGATGATATGGGTAGTACAAGAGTGGATCTACCACGAGATCAAGGAGGCTAAACCCTAGAAGCTAGCCTATGGTATGATTGTTGTAATGTATGTTATGTCCTACGGACTAAAGCCCTCCGGTTTATATAGACACCGGAGAGGGCTAGGGTTACACAGAGTCGGTTACAATGGTAGGAGATCTACATATCCGTATCACCAAGCTTGCCTTCCGCGCCAAGGAAAGTCCCATCCGGACACGGGACGGAGTCTTCAATCTTGTATCTTCGTAGTCTTGGAGTCCGGCGGACGATGATAGTCTGGCTGTCCGGACACCCCCTAGTCTAGGACTCCCTCACCCGCGATGTGTAGAATGGAGCCCGACGTGAGGTTGTGCAGTTGGAGACAGTAATACTCCAGAAGACCTCTGAGGAAAGGGTGGATTGGAAATCCCACGCCCCTCAGTAAGAAGGAAACGAAGCACACTCGCTCCCCTTTATTGGGATTGGGGAATTTCTCCGCCAGGGCTTAACCATTGAAGGTAGTTAATCCCTCCAGAACAGGGACTAGATCCGATGGAGGGAGATATCCGTGCGCCTGAAGCTTGGTCAATTGGGTGTGGGGCACCGAGTAGCTCTCCCAGTCGCCTTCTTGAGGGCCTTGGGGACACAAGTAAGAACAAGGAGCGTTGGCCATCTTTGGTTGGTTTCCTATGGCAAGCTCTAAGGATTTTGGTCTGGTGGAGAATGGAGTCTGAGCTTCAATCTCTTTAAATAAGCGCCTTCCCTGCATGGCCAGGAGGTTATTTGTAAAAGTACTTAAACCCTTCGTATTCATCCGACACGTGGAAGTCGAGGCGATGGCGGCACAGCAGCTGAAGAGTACAATATTTAATGCAAAGGCCGAACGATATGGAGCACAATGGGGAACTTACCTTGCAAAGCCGAAGACATGAACACGGATACACCATCGTCATTGAAGGCAAGTTCGGGGGCTACTGAGGGAGTCCTGGTTTATGGGGTCCTCGGAGAGCCGGCCTATGTGACATGGGCCGGACTGATGGGCCGTGAAGATACAGAACCGAAGGCCTTCTCCCGTGTCCGGATGGGACTCTCCTTTACGTGGACGGCAAGCTTGGCGTATGGATGTGTAGTTTCCTTCCTCTGTAAACCAACTTTATACAGCCCTAGTCCCCTCCGGTGCCTATATAAACTAGAGGGTTTAGTCCTTAGGGGCGATCACAATCAAACATGCTAGAAATCTAGGCTTTAGCCATTACGATCTCGAGGTAGATCAACTCTTGTAACCCCTATACTCATCAAAGTCAATCAAGCAGGAAGTAGGGTATTACCTCCATTAAGAGGGCCCGAACCTGGGTAAACATCATGCCCTCTGCCTTCTTGTTACCTTCGATCCTTAGACGCATAGTTCGGGATCCCCTACCCGAGATCTGCCAGTTTTGACACCGACTGTGGCGACTGCGGATCCAACCCTGATCGGATCCGCCGTGGGGTGGCCTTCAGCCGACCGGCGGAGCGTGGAGGGAGTGGTGAGGAGATGTCGGATCTCCGCCGGTTTATGGACGTCGACATTCGTCTTCGTGGCGAGACTCCGCTCGGTTCCAGCTAACCGCCAGATCGGGATGACGTGGCTTCCGGTGAAAATCTCGCCTGACGGCGGTCATGGCGGACGATGCCGGCGTCTCGGATGTCATTCCCTTCTCGAGGCATCGTCGTTGCAGGTCACGTCAACCTGATCGGAAGGTTCCGGGGGAAACCCTAGGTCTGGATCTATCGGATCAGACAATGGCACGTTTCGATGTCGTTCTCCCTCCTAGGGGCATCATTTTGGAGCAAGTGTTGGCTAGAGGGGACAAGAGGAGGAGCGGGGTGATATCTGACACGTCGACAACGGCAGGTCTCAGCGGCATGGAGCAGCGGGGTCTCGCCGGTGGGCGTGTGATGATGGACGAATGCAGGATGGTGGTGTTGTCTGGCGTCGTGGTGGCATCGACGACAGCTAGACCGGGCAAGGTACATGCAACAATACAACACTAAAGATGGATTGGTGCGGGTGGTTGTGGCGGCCTCATACCCGGCAGGCGTCCTGCTTGAGGAGCACGCCAGACGGGTGTGTGCCCATACCCGGGAGGCGTCCTGGTTGGGACCTCGGGTCTTAAATGTTAGGTTTGGCAGCGAGGTCTGTTTGGTATTAGTCCTAGACTATCAGTGCCCCTTCATCAACTGGATAGGAGTAGCAACATATGTTGTTTAGACGGTGGCTTTAGTCTTACTGTTGTATGACTTTGTAAGGTCTTGTGTTAATAATTAATAAAATGGCCGTATGCATCGTCCAGATGCAGAGGCCGGGGGTTTTCCTCCTTTTCTAACAAAAAGTATAAAGTTGAGACACTTATTTTGGGAGACAGTAGTAGATATAGATATAGTCCTAGAGATAGATAGAAGATATATATATATATATATATATATATATATATATATATATATATATATATATATATATATATATATATTTGATTAACCAAAAATAATTCGGTCGCTTCACCTCACACGGTTTCATATTGCCAAGCTTCTGGTTCGCATCTCTCTTACACCAGCCGAGCCCTCAAACAAGTCATCGAACAGACGCAGAGTAGCAGCTGCAGCAGCGTCGCTGCTAACTCAAAAACCCTAGCGCGCGACCGCGGCGGACGGACTGTGGTGCTTCATCACAGCTTCTGCTCCACTCCAAGCTTCAGATCTCCAGACGGCAACCATACGCCGGCCTCTCCTCCCCTCAGAAGAGAAGGCAACATCTGAAACACTTTATCTCCAGGTAATTGCTATCCATCTTCTCTTATATGCATGTTATAGATGGTTAATCATCACAGCAACAGCGTCGTGCACGTCTACCATCAATTCGATGCCAACTTTTCATAGTTAATTAGTGATCTACCTCTTGGTCTAGTAGAAATTCTTGGCAGGGATCACAAATAAAAAGCTAATTGTGTTTGGTTTACGGACGCGATATGCTTTCTCTGTTTCATAGCACTATATTGAGAATTGTTAGTATCTCATAGTAGTACATATGTCCATGCTTCGAGGAAATAAGAGTTAGCCCAGTAACGGATTAAGTTCATCTGGGCATCAAAATCAAATTGTCTAGCTATAGCCTAATAATTAATTAATCGGTTGAGGGTCCGTTGTTTGGAAGGCAAAGTTGAATGGGTTGCCCGGCCAATAAAGTTGGATGGGTTGGGAATTTGGGATTAGTTTGAAGCTTGTGTGGATAGCCACTTGCTTGCTTGGCTGGATAAGCTAGCTAGACTAATCAGTTTCTTGTTTGGCTGTCACTTGTCAGCATATGGTGGTTGAGATTAGCTCGTCTTCCATAGGGGTCAAAAAAGATTGTAACTATGTTGCTTGTAATTGTTAATTCTGCTACTTGTAATAATTAATTAATTAGGGCGTGTTTGGCTTTGGCTATAAGCTCTGGCACCAATACAGTAATGACAAGGGGCAGCGAAGGCCGAGCATCTTTTGTCGTTGGTGCGTCTCGATCATTTGCATAGGTCAAAAGGCGTGTTTGGCTTTGGCTACAAGCTCTGGCACCAATACAGTAATGACAAGGGGCAGCGAAGGCGGAGCATCTTTTGTCGTTTGTGCATCTCGATCATTTCCATAGGTCAAAAAGTCTTCCCATCAAATCTGATAATATTTCCCTCGCGATGCTCGTCGTCAAAGTCGGAGCTGTCGGTTGTTTGTGCGTGTGGCCATCTATTGGCATGTGCCGTCTTGGCTTGTGCAGCTGTTCTACAGTTCTGTGTTTCATGCCGGTGGCCAGGTTGATCGGGGGTGCCCATTTTGTGGGCTGGATTGTGTCGATTTTAGCCCTGTTTTCCATCAATTAACCGGGTAATTCTCCTTCTTCTTATCAATGAAAATGGCAAGTCTTTTGCCTCGTTTCAAAAAAAAAAATATCTGATAATATAGTGTAAGAGATTGATTGACTAAGAAACACGAGACCAGTTACTTCACAAGTATGCGTCCATTGTTGGTTTCACACTTTCATTGCATAATACATAGTCCGGTCAGTGCCTTAATTTCCTGACCTGAGCGCTCGATCCTTGTAATTAGTCTTTGAGTCATGCATCGAGGGTAAAAAGAACTAGCCTATGTAAAGTTCACTGTTTGTCTCTTTACAACAGAATATGCATCTCTCTTCTGCAAATATATATGTGTATTTCATGATTACTTAATCAATTGGGTAAATTTGAAGTTAATTTGATCGAGCCTCACAAATAATGCTCGTGCTCAAGTTTCAAGCTAGGGCAAGTGAGTTGGTATATAACAGGCCCGGTACCAACTAATGGATCTCCGAGTTAGTATAACCCAAATTGAGCTGGAGTGCATGCTAGTTGATGATGACGCAGAGCCCAAGGCCTTGCCATTCCCACTATTGGAGAAAATAACAGATGGTTTTTCTGATAAGCTGGAAATTGGAAGAGGTGGCTTTGCGGTTGTTTATAAGGTATGCAAAAACGCTCTCATGATGCCCGCACTCTAACTCTGGTTTGATCAAAGTTTATCCGAAATGATAACTCAAAGTTTATCCTTGCACGGTCCCACTGCTGCAGGCAATGCTTGATAATGGCATTATCGCTGTAAAGAGGATGTCCAATACATACATGTATGAGAAAGAATTCCACCGAGAGGTGGAATGTCTAATGAAGGTGAAGCACAAAAACCTCGTGCGATTTCTGGGATATTGTGCTGACACCCAAGGGAATATGGGAAGCTACATCGGGAAAATGGTTATGGCAGATGTGCAACAAAGATTGCTCTGCTTTGAGTATCTACCTAAAGGAAGTCTTGATGATTATATTACAGGTAGGTTCATGTTTTCGTTTAATTTTCTTCATGGAATATTACTTGGTTGGTTCAACCTACTCAAGCATATAGCTGAAATAATCTACCGTGTAATATGCTATCTTGCATTCAGAAATCAAGGAAGTGTCTTAAATATATACTAAATTAAATCCCATTTCTCATCTCCCTTTTGTAGATTCTTTTGGAGAATTTGAATGGAGAAAGTGCTACCAAGTAATAAAAGGGATATGCGAAGGGCTAAATTATCTTCACCAAAACAATATCATGCACTTAGACCTAAAACCCGGAAATATATTATTGGATGAAGATGTGATGCCGAAAATTACTGATTTTGGACTATCAAGGTGTTTTGAGGAAGGCCAGACACGAGTCATTACTGAAAATGTGGGCGGAAAAATGTAAGCCAACTTAAGCCTCTTGGAAGCTAAATCTATAAAAAAAATAGCTATAATGTAATTTTATATTGCAATCGCTCAACATATTACTAATTGACCAGATTATATGTCTTTGCAGAGGATATTTGGCACCAGAATTCCATACTGGTGAAATCACACACAAATTTGACTTGTACAGTCTTGGTGTTATAGTTATGGAGATGTTGACCGGAAAGAAGGGGTATCAAAGTATTGAAGATGTAAGAACAATTTCTATATGTCACCTTTCGAAGTCAAATTTTAATATAATGATTTTACAAATTAAATTTCGGTTTCCATTAAAAAAGGTTGATCCATTTCATAATGTACAATTAATTGCAATTATCTAGGTACGTGAAAGTTGGAGTTATAAGTCAGACATATTGTGGTGGGAACAAATACGAGTATGCGCTGAGATTGGGATCGAGTGCACTGACTTAAACCCAGCCAAGAGGCCAGAAAGTATGAAGCATATAATTGATAGGCTTTTAGCAGCAGAAAGTAGTACTCAGGTAATCCCAACAGGTGGTCCCACCAGCAAGCTTATTGTCCTTCACCCATCAGCGCTTCGCTTCCCCTTTGAGATCAACAAGGTCATCACGTGCCCGCTTGAGCTAACAAATAACACCGATAAACACGTTGCGTTTAGGCTAAAGGACAAGAGTGGGGAGTCCTCCTTCCTAAGGCTGCCATTGTATGGTATTGTGCCACCTAACACCCCTTATATTCTCATTGTGACAACACAAGAGATAGAAGAGCTACCACGAAAGTGGATCATAGATGTGATCCTCGACGGTGCTACATTAATATTGGGGGATGGTGAGCATAAAAAGACTTTCCACAGCCAGCCAGACAAGTACTTTCAGGAGATGGGGAATGCAGTGCAAGAGGTGGAACTAAAAGCACTTTATACTCTACCGCGACACATCACAACATTGTCGTCTAAGGTATAAGATATTACTATATCAGTATAAATATGACGAACTAGCTAGGTGACCTCCAAATTTTGCTCGGATAGTTTTGTCAGTTGTTGTATGTATGTTCTTGCGCTATATTATGTTAACACTGAGTTATTAAAAGGCCATCCGTATACATTGAAAACTATACATCTAATAAAAATGCACCATTCAAAAAAGAGTATTTGCAATTATTTCTTACTCACTTGCATGAAAATTGTTAGTTAATTCAGCTCATCGTCGCATTATTAGTGACATGTCTTTCAAAAAATATACATTTTTTTTTGCAAATTACATCTTGAGGGAACATTATTGGACTACCATTTTTCAATCAAGGGATTAGGTGAAAAAGCAATCAAATACGAGAATCAATTTCGGCAATTGTTTTTAGCACAAATAATATTGGTCATTCTTTCTCTATTTCTTTACCAATATATATTATAAAATAGGGAAAAGTATATTTTTCGTCCCTCAACTCTTTCGAATGTTTAGAAACAGTCCCTCAACTCCAAAACCAGCAAAACTTAGTCCCTCAACTTTCAAAAGCGGATAAGTTTAGTCCCTCGTGCCACTTCAGGCTGTTTTCGTACATGGTGAAACCGCCCGAAGCGGCATGAGGGACTAAACTTATCCAGTTTGGAGTTCAGGGACCATTTCTAAACTTTAGAAAGAGTTGAGGGACGAAAAATATACTTATCCTCATAAAATATGGATAGAGAAAGGTTGGTCTCACTTAAATTGAAAGGTCGATACTCTAGTCTAATATTACTATTCCCCTTTTCTATTGTTTTCACTTGTGTTTTGTGGTGGCGGTTCTCGAATGCACTTACACATGGTCATATATTCCTCAGCCAATCCCGCCCACTATCAAGGTATGAATTCTATCTTCTCTTTGTGGGGTTACAATGTATGTGCAGTAAAACTTTAAGGTGGTCCTCAGCCAGATGTTAATCATAGCCTTATTGAATCAGATAATATGCAAGGTAAAAGGGCTCGACCTGTATTCCTTGGACATAAACCAGGCCAAGCAATGGTGAGTGGATTCTTTGTACAGTGAAAATATATATGCACATTGTTGATTATTCATGTGACACCTCTATTTGTGGCAAGATCTTTGGTGAAAATTTTGACTGATATTTCAAAATGAGAAGAAACAACTTTCTATACTGTTATTTAGCTCATGAATCAATGGGTCCCTGGTTAGTCCATGGTTTCATTTGGCACGGACCTCTATTTTGCGACTGAGCACATGAACGAGATTTGCCCTTTTTTACGTGTAAGCATATGGTATACTGCTCATATCTGATTCGTGCTGAATTAGTTCGCTATTTTTTATATATGTGGCAGGATAATAATAGGAGAAGACAGTGGACATGTTCGCATTTGGGATTATAAGACACAGGCAAGTAAAGTAGTGTTGTTTTTTTTTTCACTAAAGACTCAATTGTTGCCTCTCGGCGTGGATATATACAATGCATGCTTTGTTCACTCACCATTGACTAACATAGTAATTTCCATGACAGTGAAAAGTGGATTCGCTTAAAGTCTCAGCGAGCTATGGCATGACTTCTGACTTCTGTTAACACTTCCATGCATCATGCAAGGTGCCATGCTAATGAATTAATCTCTTGCCTCACTGCAGTTTCGTCCATTAAATTTATTGCAAGAAAGCAATGGATTCTTGCTGGGACTCATAGTGGTAACGTTCATGTGTACAACTATGAAACAATGCACAAGATCACTACTTTCAGAGTTGCTGTCGGTGGACATGCAGAAGTCGTGTCACTGGCCGTTCATCCAACCCAGCCGTATTTGCTGTCAGCGGGTACACACCTGAAGCTTTGGGACTGGGACAAGGGTTGGGAGTGCGTACAGACATTTGAGTGCCAATATCTTGAGAAAGTATGTCATGTCGCATTTAACCCAAATGACACCTTTGCTAGTGCTACATCAGGTTTAGCCGGAGGTTTCGCTGTGAAGGTATGGCTCTCAATTATAACATGATGAAGACAAGTGTTGCTACTACACCTTTTTCTTTGATTATGATCTCCTATATATGATTACTGTGCAGGTTTGGAGTCTTGATTCTCCCAAATCCAACTATACATTGTCTGGGCACTCAGACAAGGTGAACTGCTTGGATTTCTTCACATGCCACGATCAAGAGTTTTTGGTTACAGGTTCAGATGATGAGACTGCCAAGGTCTACCATTCTCATGGAAAACTTGCTAATACAGTACGTGTACACATAGCAGTTCTCATAATGCATGCTTTGATTATTATTTTTCCTGAATCAGATATGGTATTTGCATAAGAAGATATGTGTATATACACTTGAAGCTTTCGCGTCTCCAGTTACGTCTGTCCTGTACCAACCCGATATTCAGACTCTAATTACATGTTCAAAAGATGGTGCAATTTATTTGTGGTGCACTACAAATTGCAGGTAATTTGAAGTAGTAACTATAGATGGTATCCCTGTGAAGGATGGTTTTGAATTTCAGTTTCAGAAATATTTCAGTCATTACCGAAATCAGTTGATTTCAGTGAAATTCAGTGATTTTGGTTTTCATTTCGGCCAAATGATCGAAATTTCCACTTGAACTTGACTGAGATCCAATCAAATATTTTGAAAACTCGCAAAATAATTTATAACTAATTTGAATTTATGTGTACTACCGAAATTGCTGAAATATATTGACCGAAAGGCAATTATTTTAGCATGTACCAAAATTAATGAATTTTCTGAAATTTCACTGAAATTACACTGAAAGTGAGAACCATTTAGTCAACCATTTGGAGTTTGTTAGTCAACTTTCGGTGTTGCACTAAATGCACTCGATCATTCATGGTTTTCCATTCTACTTGCTGATAAAAAAATTCCCATAGGATATATTCACGCCCCCCCCACACTTACAAGAATCATCAACATTGGTTGTGTTGTCTACCATCTGGCATGTGCGATGGGAAGGTATATTTTCTTCTTTTCTTTTACTGCATAAGAGCGTATATTTCTTAGCTGTACAGCCATGCTTCCTATTTTTTATGCCAGACTTATCATGTTATATGGGTTTATATACCTATTATTGTCAGGGTTGTAATTGGAAAACAAAAGGAAGTAGCAATTATGGATATCGATAATGTGAATTATCAAGAGCAATCAACGGATTGCAGTGAGGAGCAGTTAACTGCAGATACGAGACAATGTGATGGAAACACAGCGTCTAAGGTGAGTAAATAAGTTTTATTTAGACAGAAGTGAGTTAATCAATCAAATGCTCTCTATTGCACTTCACGTTTAATCTTTGGAAAGTTGAGACCTTAATATAACTGGTTGCTTGTCTAGTTTTAGTTGTCATAGGTTCTTTTGACAATGCAGACCGATCCCTCATATTTATTGTAAAATTTATATTGCTGTAATAATCAACTATTAATAAGTTGCCTATCCAACGCTTCTTTCGTTTAATTAGCAGGAAATCACAGGGTCCATCAGCAAGCTACTTGACGTCCACCCGCTGGAACTCTGCTTTCCCTATCATCCTAATGAGCCCATCCCGTGCTCACTGCACCTAACAAACAATACAGACGAAAATGTGGCATTTAGACTTGTAGACAAGAGCGGCAAATCCCCATGGTGCTTCACAAAGCTGCCGTTGTACGGCAGTGTGCCTCATAGATCCACTTACACTTTGATTGTGACAATGAAAGAGGAGATGAAGCAAAAGGAAAGTACTGACTTTGATCTCGTTATTCAGAGCAGTTTATTGGGAGATAATTACACGTTGGCATTCCAAGACCAATCCGAGTCTGATATTTTTTTTGAGGAAGCCAAAAAGTTTGGGAATATGATGCATGAGGTGACACTGAAAGCAATTTATGTGCAGTACGGAGAGATCACATCTAAGGTTAGTTGGTTCAACTATACAAAACATTTATCTCAATTACTGTTCACAAAAGAGAGTCGGAGAATTTAGCGATGCACCTTAGAGCAACTCTAGCAGGTTCCATAAAATGGCGCCCTCTAAAATTGTTTAAGAGGACCCTCTAAACCTATTTTAGAGGTTCTCGGGCCCTGTATTTCTCTCATATTCCCAACAACTACAACCTCTATTTTTCCTCTTTGATTTCTCTTATATGTGCATATGAACTCCATTTCAAGTCCAATTTAACATGAATATGCTTCAAACTTGTATGTTCCCGCGTCACACAATTCAACAACATTTCAAATATGGCCGTATGCATCGTCCTGATGCAGAGGCCGGGGGTTTTCCTCCTTTTCCAAAAAAAACAACATTTCAAATGCATAAAACACCTTTTCTAATTCAAATTTAAACGTAACATATGGTCCTAATGCATGATAAACATACTACTAAACATAGGTTGTTCTTTTTTTTTCTCTTACTCAAACCATGACACTCTACTTCTTGAACTTCTTCAACTTGAACGAGTCAGGGAACCTCTTGTGCTCCTCTCTCGAGCGCATGCTCATTGTCCCTGGTATCGGCCGCGTCCCATTGAACCCGAAAGGGGACCTATAGGGATATTCTAGATCATGGTAGGAGGAGGAAGAGGAAATCTCCATGGCGGCCTGGCCCTTCTGCTTTGCGGCCTCGGCAACCTTCTCCTTGTCTATCTTGGCCTTTAGCTCGGTGAGGGCGGTGTCAAGCTTACTTCACCAGGCCTTGGCCTTGGCGGCGGAAGCGACAATAGCCGCGTTCAACGCCTCCTCCACGGCTCTGGCCTGATCCTCCAGCAAAGCCCAATCGACTCGTCGTTATTGTGCGACATTTGTCAAACATTGTACTGTTATGGCTTCGTTTTCAATGAAAATTGAGCCGAGGGGCTAACCCTGCTGATTAAAAATAATAATTGTCGAACACTTTATAGCCGTCTCAGCTGGTAGGGGAGGGGAATTCACGTGGCGTGAATGGAGCGGGGGGAGGAGGCTGAAGGAGGGCACTGGCGTTGAGATATATCTGGCCATCCATCGGGTCGGGCCGGGCCTAACAAAGCCTGAGGCAAAAACCTAGGCCTGGGCCTGGCCCAGCCCGTCCATCGGGCCTAGTTTTCACGCCCAAGCCCGACCCATTAGTGACAAATCCCGCCGGGCCTCGGGCCTCGGGTTGGGCCCCTTCCTTAAAATGCAACATATCCAAGCCCAAGCCTGGCCCAGCATGTCCTTTGGGCTCAAAACATAGGCCCAGGCCCGGCCCACGGGCAAGGTCGGGCCGGGCCGTCCGGTCAGAGATGGTGGCGTGGGGTCGGACGGGCATGGGGCCGAGGAGCACGACACTGGGTCGGCGTCGGGTGACGGCAGCAGGAAGACCCGTTCCGCCAGTTCAAGAAAATAACTATTTTCTTGCTCAGCGGGCTCCGGTTCTCGTTCCCCGGATTCAAGGGCCTGTAGGATCTCCAAATTCTCAACATAGAGCCTAACTCAATCATTTTCCTTGCCACACTTGGCACACTTGTACGAAGTGGGGCTAGGAGTGCGGTGCGTCCTCACCAGGAACTGTGGAGACTACTTCAAGTTGAAGCAAGCTCGTGTGGGATGGCAATGGGGCGGGTTTGGATGGGTAGCATATCCACAACCACAAGCGTGTCCATTGCCCACCCGTAAAAGTATCCATGGGTCACAGATCGCTGTTCATACCCATACCCGCTAGATATCAAGCTATTTTTTTGGAAAGGCCCGAGGCCATATATATTATGATTCACATGACCTTAGAAACACAGTCATACAGAAAAATAAAATTACAATGAAAGCCTTGGGGATGGCGAAGTCTTCTTCCTCTTGCTTCCACAGGCGGCGCCCATGAGCATAGCTCGATGCCGCCTCTGGGCCTCCACCTTGGCAGATCAAACTTTTTGAAACCCAGGAGCTTGTAAAAGGGCCGAAATCACTATTCTGACCTTTTCAGCAATCTTTACCACAAAGTGAACTCGACACGAAAGTATTTCACGATCTGACCCTTTTAGCAACGCCACAAACCGTGGCGTTTCTTCTCCATATAAAAACACCGACCTAGCTAGCGTTTCAAATCCACATTCAAATGCCGAAGTCGCTAGCGTTTCCAATCCACATAGAAACGCCAAGCAACTAGGCGTTGCTGCCCTGGCCAGAAACGCCATAGGCCTTGCGTTTAGGCCCTGGGTTTAGGAGCAGTTTTTTACTTTGACGACGGGGCAGTGAGTGGGCTGGGTGCCAGCGCAGAAACGCCAAAGCCCTTGGCGTTGCTTACCTGGTCCGCAACGCGAGCAACCTCGGCGTTTCTCCTTTGGGCAGGAACGCTAGCTAGCTCGGCGTTTCTCCTTTGGGCAGGAACGCTAGCTAGCTCGGCGTTTTTATTTGGGGAAGAAACGCCACGGGCTCTGGCGTTGCTAAAAGGGTCAGATCGTGAAATACTTTCATGTCGAGTTCACTTTCTGACAAAGTTTGTTGATAGGGTCAGAATAGTGATTTCGGCCCTTGTAAAAGCAACGGCCGGGAAGTCATCGATGAAGACCAGGAGACATCAGCGGTCTCGATCTACGAAGCTAATC